TCAAGCTCAACTGACTAGAGCTGAAAACCAATCGATGGTACAATCGATATATCGATGTTTTTAAATTTTTCGAAACATCAATGGTTTTTAGGCCAATATCGAATGTACCTCTGCGTTTGGCACAGGCTGTAGTTCAGCGAACTTGTGGTGTTTGTTGTAGGTGATGACCAATAAAGAACCTGAAATATAAGAAAGATTGGCAATTTCGGTCGACCATTGTCGGTTTATCGTTTTCCAGCTCTACAACTGACTACATCTTCCACTCTTTTGTATTGGATGCACTCAAATGTTGCATACTGACTCAAGTCCCCAGAACACTTTCCTCTCTGCCATACACAAGACTCTTGATGTCTCCGGTCGGACTTGCTAGACTAGCAAACAAAAGCGTGTAATTCCCCGAATTCAGATTGCCACTGAAAATATACATGCCTACGAATACTAGGAATCACGCTGCGTCATATGCACATTTTATTTTTAGATTCCTCGAACATCTTATCCCGAATTAATCGATTTAAGCTATTTCAATGACGGTGCTGACGGTTTTTAATCGAAGATCAAAAATATAAACTTCCAGAAAATGTTAACATGTGAATGTAAATGTTTGAAGTTGAGATCGCAAATACGAAATTAAATCGAAATTTAATCTTACTTCATTTACATTTTGTAAGTAAATAAATTTATCTATAAAACTGATATGTTAAATGTGTTTTTGGGAATGCTTTCGTGAATCGAGGTAAACAAGTCCTCTTATGATCGCTTGACTAGTTATGATGTAATAAATTGTTTTGACAAGTTCGAAACGTCAATGAATTGCAAGCGGCCAGAAAACGAATGGCCCTTGGGTTTCCCTCTCTTCGTTTGGGGGTGCATTTTTCGCTCTGCACGATGTACATAATTATGTGGACGGTAAACGAATGGTTCAAGTTTTTATGTAGTTTTAATAAATTAATTTGACTTACATGTGATTAATATAAAAGTACCCCCCTGGAAGATTCAAATTCAAACCAGCATGGAAACCTTGGCATTGATTCAATGCGAATTCTCCGCACTTCCGATTGTCCACAACTCAAATGGTTGCCGTAAATTGCAAAGCTTTTATACTCGGATGAAATATATAAAACTCTATTCGGCCTGTGTGTCCACTATTTTGGAGGATTCATTTGAATTGGTTACATGTAGACGTATTATGAAGAAATGGTTCCGCAGTAAGTGCCGAAGATGAAGAAGTTTCGTATATTTAAAATCTTTATACTGATCGATCTGTATGAAGGCACTCGATAAAAAATTTTTAAGAAATCCTTTGTGATTTATAAGCTTACAAAGAATGTTTTTTAAATAAAGAAAATAATGATAATAATGAGAATATTAATAATTATATATAGAAATTTATCAGCACAAATGCTAATATCAGTGAACCCATAACAGAGAAACCAAAAGCTTTTTATAAAAATTCCTCTCTCAGTAAAGTGATGTACTTGCTCTCTAGGATGGATTTTATCTCTCAGCTCAGTTTACATTTCGCTCTCAAGGGAAAAGCTTGTGATGGAAAACGCACGGACAATAACAGATTTGCCGTTTGAGGCCCTCGATCTGATATTCACTTACCTTTTAAATCTACCGAATAAAGTGAGCTTGGCCGAGGCTCATGAAAAGTTGGGAAATGCATTTGCCTTACACAGTCGCAATAAGTTCAGGAAACTCTGCTGTGACCATAAACTAAGAACCGAATCTTGGTTGATTCTCATAAGAGAATGTGGGTCCTCAGTTGAAGAATTCGACTGCTGTAAGCTTGGTACATCTTGGAATGGCCTTATAGGTCAGGCTGTGATAGAGCATTGCTGCAACCTGGAATCAGTGTCACTTAGAATAAATAGAAATAACCAAGAAAGCATCCGGAGTTTTCTTCTGCAACTGAAGAACTTGCTGATATCAGTCACCTTGGAACAAGAAAACGATTTCCAGCAATCTTATGCGCTGTTAAGGAATTGCCTAATCTAAAGAGATTTTCCTTTAAGGGAAATATTGACGGGAACGGTAAGTGAATAAACTTTATCTTTTGGTAAAACAGAAAAATAAAGTAAATATATTCATCTGTGTTTTTAATATTTTTAAATCCATTTCTTAAAAGTATTTTGCTTGCTATGTCATAAAGATTTATTTCTAGTTTATCAGATCGGTAAAATGGTTGCCGTGGAGAGTCTGACAATCGAAAACATGTTTTACGGAGAACAACCTGCTGTTAACATCATCCTGCTTTGTGAGTCTACAAGGAATCTTCGACTCTTAAAATTAAAAAAGATCAAAACGTGGCTACCAGAACATTTCAATTCGAAAGTATGGTACGATTTGGAATTCCTTTCACTGCATCAGTGTGACTTCTCCGCTGGACTGCAAGAAAGCCCTAATCTCAAGCACTTAAACTTTTATTATTGCAAAGGCCCTGTCAAAGACTATTTTCTGAAGTTCATTAGAAAATATGAAAACGGCTATCCGACCAGAGATTATGGGAACAAATTCAATCAATAGGAAGTTTACAATATTATTTAATATTTTACTTTTATTTTTGTTCGTAAACGGCTTGAAACCTTGAATATCAAAGCCATAAGCGAATTACTAATTTTCCCACTTTCCTCACTTTCAATTTTCCGTATCTGGTTGGCATTGCCGTTCCATTGGTATACATACAAAAAACTCATTACCATATAGGCCTTGCAGCTGAAGAGAATAACATTTTGCAGTCCACTAAATCTTGTATATATGGTCAATTTTTGTCTAGTTTGTAGTACAACAATTGTAAAGTTTTGTATATCAGTATTACTGTTAGGAATATTAAAAAAAAATACCATATTTGTAAAATTGCATTTTTGAAACTAGAAATATATATTTTAAGTAAAATTTAAAGGAAAACGAATCTTTCCTATCATCGCTGGTGTGGTCAGTGAACTCTAAACGAAAAGACAAAAAGCTCTTTCAAAATTCCTCTCTCAGTGTTTGGTGAGGCATATTTCTCTTAGCGCCACACGAAACAGTTCTCAGTTCGCATTTCGCTCTCGACGGTGAAGCTTGTAATGGAAAATCCACGGACCATAATTGATTTGCCGTTCGAAGTCCTCGATCTGATATTCAAAGAACTGCAGTGCTTGAAAGATAAAGTGAACCTGGCACAGACTCATGACAGGCTGGGAAAAGCTTTTGCCTTTCACAGTCGCAATGAGTACAGGACTCTTAAGCTCAGTACCGCGATAACTGACGAATCATGGGCCTTTCTTGTGCAAGAATGTGGCACATCAATTGAGGAATTAGATTGCGAAAGAGCGAGCTCGCACTGGCATGAGCTTATACCCGATTCGATTGTGAAGCACTGCCCGAATCTGAAATCGGTATCAACTGATTTTTCCGCGGATGATAGTGCCAGCATTATGTCTTTTTTAGGGAAGATGAAAAATTCTCTACTATCTCTTAAATTAATACAAAGGTATTTTAGAAATGCATTTCCATTAGAAATGTTGAAAGTATTGGGTGAAAGTACCCAATTAAAACAGCTATGGTTGCGTAATGTATATCCTGACGAAAATAGTAAGTTTTAGAAAAAGTTATTTCCTTATTAAAAATATTAAAAATCTCTGAAACTTTAAGTACTCTTTCCATTTGATTTGCGAAACTTGATATAAATTTTATAAAAATAGTTACCTCAGGAATATAATAACAACAAGTTTTTCCTGCATAGTCTTTATAAATCCAAAAATGTCAAAACAATAAAAATTTCACATTTTGTTTGAGTTTTTTATGTACTCATCACTGTTGCATGTAGTTTAGCTTGTACAAATATTTTTTGTAGTGCACTATATACAGACGTGTGTCGCTCTGGAAAAGCTGGAACTCGATAATTACACTACGGTAGAGACACATACTGTCAACCTACAACAGATTTGTGCTCCACTTAAGAATCTCCGTGAATTAAGTGTGAGTAATTTCGAAATTCTGCCGTTCGAGGACTCATATTCATCTATATGGCCCAGACTAGAAACACTGGATTTGATTCAATGCAAATACCTCGAAATACCTGATTGCCCAAAACTTAAGAGTCTGACCATTTGTTACACCATATGTTACTTCGAGGATTACGGGTTGAAATTAATCCTAAAAAACGGAAGAAATCTTAAAACATTGTACGAGGGCTGCTATCCACCACTCGAAGCCGAAGATTTCCTTCGAGTTCTTCGGGCCTGCCCAAAACTGCGTAGCCTTTATACTTCAATGGAAGATATAGAACTCTCTCCGGAATACGTGTCTACAATTTTGGGAATTCTTAAGGAAAATGGAGTGACGCGGGAGGATCGATTCGAATTGGTTATAACTAGCATTTATAACTGGGATTGCATCCAAGAGCTAGTAAGTTCCGAAGATAAAGATGTTTCATATTTTAAAAATGATCACTTTTAGCTTCGTCTGGTCCCTGATGCTGAGTTGATTGATCTGTATGAAAGCATTCGATAGATTATTAGTTAATACATATATAAATGATGTAATATATAAAAACATGAGTATTTTTTAAATTAAAAATTAAATACCGTTCTCAAGTGTTTTCGTATTCCTTACAGTTCTTAGTTCGAAGATCGCTTCAAAGGGAACAGCTAGTAATAGAAAATCCACGATTAGATATTTATTTACATTTTATATCTACTAAACTAAGCTTACGATCTTAAAAAGCTAGAAATAGTTAGGTAAGGTTAATAGGTTAATAAGGGAATCGTAGCTGTTTCTTTTTAAGGAAAATTTATTTTTCGTTTTTTAACTGATCTGATTTTTCAATGATAGTTATATGATTTTTCATTAAATTTATTAAGACCAGATTTTAAGTGCGGAAGTACAATGAATTGCGGTGAGAAATCGAAAGCTTCTTTAGGATTCCCTCTCTTTATTCTCGGATGCATTTTTCTATTCGAACGATGGATTTCATGTCTCAGTTCGCATTTTGCTGTCAAAGGAAAAGCTTTGCTATGGAGAACCCTCGGACAATAACCGATTTGCCGTTCGAAGTTCTCGATCTGATATACAACGATCTGGATTGTTTGAGAGATAAAGTGGACCTGGCCCAGAGCCATAACAATCTGGGAAAAGCTTTTGCTCTTCACAGTCGCAATAAGTTTAGGACTCTTAAGCCGAGTACAGAGTTAACTGACGAATCGTGGTACTTTCTTATAAAACAGTGCGGCACTTCAATTGAGGAAATATGCTTCGGAGGCAGGGGCATTTACTGGAATGATCGTATAACCCAGGCGATAGTGCCGAACTGTCCCAATCTGAAATCATTATCGACTGATTTTTACACGCATGATAGTAAGAGCATTCAGCATTTTTTAGAGGAGATGAAAAATTCCCTGACATCGCTTACTCTGAACCAAAGGGATGATTTCCCTTTTGAAATCTTAAAAGTGGTTAGTGAAATGAGTAAACTAAAGCAACTTTCGATAAGAGGGAATTTTGATGAAAGTGGTAAGTATTTTGAAAAATGTGTTTATCCCCTAATCAACTCGACTGCAAAAAGTATGCAAAATCAATTGGTATCAAATATAATTAATTAGCATTTTGAAATAAAATAGACTGGTATACTAGGGATCGAGATTGTAATAACAGTTTGTTTTTTATTGGTTGCTTAAATATAATTTTATTCTTCATTTTTAGTTTGCCATTTAGAGAATCTAATAGCCCTGGAAAAGCTGGGAATCGAATATCATAGTAATTCATCGAAACTTCGTGTCGACTTAATACGGATTTGTGCTTCCTTGACAAATCTTCAAAATTTATATGTGTCTGATGTAGAAATATTGCCGTATGAAAAGCCATTTTTAGCAACGTGGGCCAGACTAGAAACCCTAAATTTGAGTCGTTGCAAATTACCAGTTGAACTCCCAGATTGCCCTCAGCTCAAATTCCTAAATATATATCTTCCCATATGTCACAACGAAGGGTACGGCTTCAAATTCCTACTCGAGAACGGTAGAAATCTCGAAACATTGTATGAAGCATTCGAGCCACCAATCGATGCCGATAGCTACCTCGAACTTTTTCGGGCCTGCCCAAAATTGCGCAGATTTTATACTGCAATGAACCATAACAACCTCTCTCCGGGCCACAAGTCCACTATTTCGGAGATTCTTAAGGCTAATGGAGTGACCCAAGAGGATCCATTCGAGATGATTATAAGCAGACTTTACTTTTGAAAACGGATCCGAAAATTAGTAAGTGCGAAGATGAAAAGGTTACTTTGCGCCCCTGGTGCTGAGTTGATCGATCTGTATAAAGGCAACAGAGTGTTAAAATAATTAAAGTAAAACAATTTTATTTTTTATATATTTATAATGTAACTTAAAATGTAATAAAGTTTTTGCTGAAATGCAACAACAGATTTCAGTCAACTTTAATGGATGGATTTCATCTCAGTGCTCAGTTCGCATTTCGCTCTCGGGGGAAAAGCTTGGAATGGTAAACAAACGGACAATAAGTGGATTTGCAGTTCGCAGTTCTCGATCTGATATTCAAAGAACTCGTGTGTTTGAGAAATAAAGTGCACCTGACCCATGACAAGTTGGTTAAAGCTTTTGCCTTCCACTCCTTGCCATGATATCAGGACACTCAAGCCTAATAGTGAGTTAACGGCCGAGTCATGGATCTTTCTTGAGTATGGTTTTAAGTAAATACACTCGTATATTTATCTTATGACAGTTTCAAGTGTTATGGTGAAATGTTCAGTATAATGAGAAGTCAATGAATTGCTAGCGAAGAGAAATCGTTAGTTCTTTACGGATTCCCTCTCTCCGTTCGCGAATGCACTTTTCTCTCTGCACGAAGTTTGAGTATTTCACAATTCGCTGGAAAGCTGGGAAATACTTCGGTCTATCAAAATTACAATGAGTTAAGAAGACTTAAGCTTAGTTCATGAATAAATGTTTAAAATGCCAATCTAAAATTTGTATCAATACCTTCAGACGACCACCCTAATTGTGAGAGCAATTATATATATGTGCCAATTATATATTAGACAATGTCAGTGAACGGTTAAAAGAGTAACCAAAAGCTTTCTCAATGTTTTCCCTCTCAGATGCAATGCAATGGCTCTCTTCTTATCTTTGCACAGTATGACACAGTTCTCAGTTCGCATTTCGCTCTCGACGGAAAAGCTTGCAATGGAAAATCCACGGACCATAGTCGATCTGCCTTTCGAAGTCCTCGATGTGATATTCAAAAAGATCGGTTATTTGCCTTATAAAGTGAACCTTGCCCAAGCACATGAAAAGCTGGGAAAAGCTTTTGCTTTTCACAGTCGCAATAACTTCAGGATACTCAATCTGAATGAGAGCTTATCTAAAGAAACATGGGTCTTCCTTATAGGAGAATGCGGCACTTTAATTGAAGAGTTAGTGTTTGATAGAAAGTGGTTGCAATGGGGAGATGAGATATCTCAGGCGGTGGTGACGCACTGCCCCAATCTGAAATCGCTAACAACAACATTACCTAAGGATAATGACAACATCCAGTTTTTATTGGAAAATATGAAAAATTCTCTGAATTCGGTTTCATTTTTACAATTTGATATATTTCCTTTAAAAATCTTGAAAGTAGTCGGTGAAATGAGAAAATTAAAAGAACTAAAAATAAGAATATATTTTGACGAAAACGGTGAGTCATTCTTAAGCAACCTTATATTCATAAATAATAGTCCTGTAAGAAAAAAAATATTATATAATAAACTCTAATTGCTTCTTGATGTTGGGGCATTCGTGTCCCGAGACCTCAGCGTTCATACGGGCAAATGAACGGACGGACATACCAATCAACAATACCCTTAGCACCGCTGTTGTCGGGTGTGTGTTCAATGTCTTGAAAGTCTTTGTTTTTAGTTTACGAAATACAGAAACTGGTCAGCCTGGAGAAGTTGGAAATCGATCACATTTATTCTGGAGAGAAGCCATCTGTTAACTTGCAACGAATATGTGCTCCACTAGAGAACCTTAGAGCTCTTAGGGTGCGCAGCATAAATATAGTGCCTTTTGAAGAGCCTTATCCTGCGATGTGGATGGGATTGGAATCCTTAGAGTTGATGAGCTGCACATTATCTAATGAATTGCCAGATTGCCCTAATCTTACATTTTTGCATATTCATAGTGAAACATTACACGACAAGAATTATTTCTTGAAGTATATTCTCAAAAATGGAAAAACTCTTAAAATGTTATGTGAAAGCTGCGATCCACGAATTGATTCCGAGGGTTTTCTCCAAATACTTCGGGACTGCCCTAAATTGCGAAATTTTAGTACACCAATGCCACCTATGAAACTTCACCCGGAGTACGTGTCTTCTATTGTCCAAATTCTAAAAGATAATGGAGTAACGCGGGAGGATCCCTTAAAACTGGTATTATTCAAGCGTAAAACGTGGAAAAGGCTCCGAAGATTAGTGAGTGCAAAGACTTTTTAAAATGTACATGGATGTTATTATTAAGTTTCTTTCCAGCTACGTCGGAACACTGATAAGCTGATCGATTTGTCGTTAATTATTTAAGCATATATATAATTATTTTATTTGGAAAAAAAGAATTAATGATATATTTAAATAACGAACTACATAAGCAGCGAAGAATGTCGACTTGTAACGAAAGTGTACTCCTCTAGGGAATATCAAACTCGTCTAATGATGCCGTTTAGCACTTATTTAGCGGTGTGTTTGGACCTGGAATCCTTGGAATCATTGTATTGCGAATGCCTAAATGCAACCACATCAACAAAGATCAATATTTCTTGAGGTTTATTCTCGAAAATAAAAATAAGCTGAAAACAATCCCTTAGATGTGATTTGACTCTGGCGTCTAAGTGGAAATGGTTCCGAAGATAAGTTAGTGCAAAATATTTGTAATATGTAAAATTTATTATTTAGTTTCCTTCCCGCTTCTTCGGACCTTTATTGACCTGTTATATGGGAAGTGGGTGTTAAAATTTTAACCTAATAAAATCAGTTTTGGTGTGGATTCTCAAGATGTGCGGATAATTAACAGTATAATCATCATCACAAATATTCAGTATAAAGAGAAGTCAATGAATTGCAAGCAAAGAGAAATCGTAGCTCTACATGGATTCCCTCTCTCCTTTCGGGAATTCATTTTTCTCATTGCAAGATTCATTAGTGTTTTGCCACAGTTCTCCATTTGTAATTCGCTGTCGAGGAACAAGCTTGCAATCGACAGACATAAACTTATTTTCCGTTCAAAGTTGTTGACGTAATATTCAAATATTTGAGAAGTAAAATGATCCTGGCCAACACCATCAAAAGCTGGTTAATCTTGTCTATCACTTGTCTAATTACTGATTTGCCAGTCAAAGTCGTTGGATGAGCCATGTTCAACGAAATGGGTCAGGTTAGAAACCCTGGCATTGGTTCAATGCGAATTCTTCGAACTACCTGATGTGCTTGTGATGGAAAACGCACGGACAATAACAGATTTGCCGTTTGAGGCCCTCGATCTGATATTCACTTACCTTTTAAATCTACCGAATAAAGTAAGCTTGGCTGAGGCTCATGATAAGTTGGGAAATGCATTTGCCTTACACAGTCGCAATAAGTTCAGGAAACTCTGCTGTGACCATAGGCTAAGAACCGAATCTTGGTTGATTCTCATAAGAGAATGTGGGTCCTCTGTTAAAGAATTCGACTGCTGTAAGCTTGGTACCTATTGGAATGGACTCATAGGTCAGGCTGTGATAGAGCATTGCTGCAACCTGGAATCAGTGTCACTTAGAATAAATAGAAATAACCAAGAAAGCATCCGGTGTTTTCTTCTGCAACTGAAGAACTTGCTGATATCAGTCACCTTGGAACAAGAAAACGATTTCCAGCAATCTTATGCGCTGTTAAGGAATTGCCTAATCTAAAGAGATTTTCCTTTAAGGGAAATATTGACGGGAACGGTAAGTGAATAAACGTTATCTTTTGGTAAAACAGAAAAATAAAGTAAATATATTCATCTGTGTTTTTAATATTTTTAAATCCATTTCTTAAAAGTATTTTGCTTGGTATGTCATAAAGATTTATTTCTAGTTTATCAGATCGGTAAAATGGTTGCCCTGGAGAATCTGACAATCGAAAACATGTTTTACGGAGAACAACCTGCGGTTAACATCATCCTGCTTTGTGAGTCTACAAGGAATCTTCGACTCTTAAAATTAAAAAAGATCAAAACGTGGCTACCAGAACATTTCAATTCGAAAGTATGGTACGATTTGGAATTCCTTTCACTGCATCAGTGTGACTTCTCCGCTGGACTGCAAGAAAGCCCTAATCTCAAGCACTTAAACTTTTATTATTGCAAAGGCCCTGTCAAAGACTATTTTCTGAAGTTCATTAGAAAATATGAAAACGGCTATCCGACCAGAGATTATGGGAACAAATTCAATCAATAGGAAGTTTACAATATTATTTAATATTTTACTTTTATTTTTGTTCGTAAACGGCTTGAAACCTTGAATATCAAAGCCATAAGCGAATTACTAATTTTCCCACTTTCCTCACTTTCAATTTTCCGTATCTGGTTGGCATTGCCGTTCCATTGGTATACATACAAAAAACTCATTACCATATAGGCCTTGCAGCTGAAGAGAATAACATTTTGCAGTCCACTAAATCTTGTATATATGGTCAATTTTTGTCTAGTTTGTAGTACAACAATTGTAAAGTTTTGTATATCAGTATTACTGTTAGGAATATTAAAAAAAAATACCATATTTGTAAAATTGCATTTTTGAAACTAGAAATATATATTTTAAGTAAAATTTAAAGGAAAACGAATCTTTCCTATCATCGCTGGTGTGGTCAGTGAACTCTAAACGAAAAGACAAAAAGCTCTTTCAAAATTCCTCTCTCAGTGTTTGGTGAGGCATATTTCTCTTAGCGCCACACGAAACAGTTCTCAGTTCGCATTTCGCTCTCGACGGTGAAGCTTGTAATGGAAAATCCACGGACCATAATTGATTTGCCGTTCGAAGTCCTCGATCTGATATTCAAAGAACTGCAGTGCTTGAAAGATAAAGTGAACCTGGCACAGACTCATGACAGGCTGGGAAAAGCTTTTGCCTTTCACAGTCGCAATGAGTTCAGGACTCTTACGCTCAGTACCGCGTTAACTAACGAATCGTGGGCCTTTCTTGTGCAAGAATGTGGCACATCAATTGAGGAATTAGATTGCGAAAGAGCGAGCTCGCACTGGCATGAGCTTATAGCCGATTCGATTGTGAAGCACTGCCCCAATCTGAAATCGGTATCAACTGAATTTTCCGAGGATAATAGTGTCAGCATTATGTCTTTTTTAGGAAAGATTAAAAATTCTCTACTAGCGCTTAAATTAATGCAACGTTATTCACGTGAAAATGAATTTTCTTCAGAAATCTTGAAAGTATTGTGTGAAATTTCCCAATTAAAACGGTTAAGCTTGTGTTATCTATATCCTGACGAAAATGGTAAGTTATTTCCTAATTAAAAATATTGAAAATCTCATAAACTTTAAGTACTCTTTTCATTTAATTTGCAAAACTCGATACAAATTTTATTAAAATAGTTACAACAGGAATATAATATTAACAAGAAACGTCAATAAATTCAAAAATAGCAAATGCATGTAGTTTAGCTTGTAGAAATAATTTTTTTTTGTTTAGTGCAATATATACAGACGTGTGTCGCTCTGGAAAAGCTGAAACTCGATAATTACGGTATGTTAGAGAGACATACTGTCAACCTACAACAGATTTGTGCTCCACTTAAGAATCTCCGTGAATTAAGTTTGAGTAATTTCGAAATTCTGCCGTTTGAGGATTCAAATTCATCTATATGGGCCAGGTTGGAAACCCTGGAATTGATTCAATGCGACTACCCCGAAATACCTTATTGCCCACAACTTAAAAGCCTGAATATTTATTACACCTTCCATTGTTTCATCGACGATTACGGGTTGGAATTAATCCTAAAAAATGGAAGAAATCTCGAAACATTGTACGAGGAATGCGATCCAACACTCGAAGCCGATGATTTCCTTCGAGTACTTCGGGCCTGCCCAAAATTGCGACATTTTCATGCTACAATGGATGATATAGAACTCTCTCCGGAATACGTGTCTACAATTTTGGAAATTCTTAAGGATAATGGAGTGACGCGGGAGGATCGATTCGAATTGGTTATAACTAGTAGATATAACTGGGATTGCATCCGAGAGCTAGTAAGTGCCAAAGATGAAGATGTTTCATATTTTAAAAATGATCACTTTTAGCTTCGCCTGGACCCTGATGCTGAGTTGATTGATCTGTATAAAGAATTCGATAAATTATTAGTTCTTACATAAAAGATGTATTATATAAAAACATGAGTTTTTTTATTTTAATTGGAAATAAAAACGTCGTGGGAACTCTAAATAAAGAAACCTTTATTTGTATGCTTTCTGAAATACCCTTGTAGAGGGTTTTTGTATGCTTTCCTTCATTTCTTAGTTCGAAGATCTTTTTAAAGAAAGAAAAAAGATCTTTTAAAATCCACGATCAGATATTCATTTACCTTTTATATCTATTAAACTAAGCTTACGATCTGGAAAAGCTAGAAATAGTTAGGTGAGGTTAATAGGTTGATAAGGGAATCGTAGCTGAGTCCTGTTTTGTAACATTTATTTTTGTTTTTTAACTGATCTGATATTCTTATGATAGTTCTTTGATTTTCATTAAATTTCTTATGACCAGATTAAGTGCGGAAGTTCAATGAATTGTCAGCGGTGAGAAATCGAAACATTTTTTAGGATTCCCTCTTAAGAATACTTTTTTTGGTTGGTTTTTATATATTGATAGACAAAAAACGTATCTTTCGAGATGTATACCCATTAAAATTGAAAACCATTTAAAAACAGCAGGCAACCTCGTAACGAGTACTTTTTGACTAACTGTATAGTTGCAGAGATTCACATATTCAGCTTTGCTTCTAAGAAAAAAGAAAATGCAATGTGGGCGATTCCACTCTCAAATTAATGTAAGCAATCGAAATCCGGAGCGGGCAATCTTGCTCTTAAATAACAAACAATTCTTAAAATCAATAGGTAAGTAAATAATATAAACACCAATATCCCAGGCGATCTCGCTTCCAAGTTTCTGCAAGCAATGGGCAAGAGAATGAGGATTTGCAACTCATGAATTCATTTCTCGTTTTCTTATTCTCGGTTAGTCTCCAGTCTCCCGTCTCCCGTCTTTTGACGGGACATTTGTTCAACTCGGTATAATAAAGTATTTCACTATATATATATATATATTTATAAAGTAATTTAAAAAATATTACATAATATGCTAACTGCAACAAGTTTTCGGCAGAAATGATAACGTCATTGAATATAAAACAAAAAGCTTTCTTATATTCTCGCATTCTCTTCATAGAATGAAACTCATCGCTGCCCTCAGTTAGTATTTCGCACTCGAGGGAAAAGCTTGGTATGGATAACTCTCGGACAATCACCGATTTGCCATTGGAAGTCCTTGATCTCATATTCCAAGAACTTTATTATACGAGGTTTAAAGTGGACCTTGGCCGGACTCATGAAAAGCTGGGAAAAGCTTTTGCCTTTCACAGTCGCAATGAGTTCAGGATAATCAGGCCAGACTATTCGTTAACAAAGGAATCATATTTGTTTATTATGCAAGAGTGTGGTACTTCGATTGAAGAAATACTTTTCCATGACGGGAACTTTTTCAGCGGCGACGACATGGCCGAGTCGTTAGTCAAGCACTGTCCCAATCTAAAATCAATAGCAACTTATTTGTATGAGAGCAAATGTAACATCTTCCAGTCCTTTTTAATAAAAAAGAAAAACTCTCTCTCGGTTAAATTTGTTCAAATAAATCGATTCCCTTTAAAATCTTGAAAGTGTTGGGTGAAATTTCCCAATTGAAACAGCTTTCATTAGAAGTCTATGCTGACGAAAATGGTAAGTATTCGAAAGCACCTTTACATGCTAATTAAATATCTTGTTGTTGCAAGAATTATCGCTTGTACAAAGTAATACGGTTTTTTCTTAGTGTACCACATTCAGAAGTGTGTCTCCCTGGAAAAGCTAGAACTCAGAAGTCGTTTAAACAGAACAAGATATACTGTCAACCTACAAAAGATTTGTGCTCCCCTTACGAATCTCCGGGACCTCAGTTTGACTAGTTTCGAAATTTCGCCCTTTGAAGACTTACATTCAAATATATGGGTCATGCTGGAAAGACTGACATTGCTTAATTGCGAATACCCTGAATTACCTGATTGTCCAGAACTCAAATTTTTGAGAATCCATTACCCCTTATGTATCATCGAAAATTATGGGTTGAAATTCATTCTAAAAAACGGAGGAAATCTCAAAACATTGTACGAGGACTGCGAACCACCAATCAGTCCCGATGGTTTCCTTGAAGTACTTAGGGCCTGCCCTAACCTGCGATTCTTCCATACTCGAATGGAATATATAAAACTCTATGCAGGCTATGTGTCTGCTATTTTGGAGATTCTTAAGGTGAATGGAGTGACGCGGGAGGATCCATTAGAACTGATTATATGTAGGCGTATTAAGTGGAAATGGTTCCGAAGACTAGTAAGTGCTGAAATAGAAATCGGAATATTTAAAAAATCATTACTTTCAGCTTCTTCGGGCGCCTAATGCTGAGCTGATCAATCTGCTCGATGGTACTGGATAGAATCTTAAAATTAATGAACAAAATACAGTATTATAATTCGTAACTTGGCTAATAAAAGAATAAAATAATTTATAAAAACATCCGAATTATTTTAATTGGGTAATAAGCAATAACTTTCCTTATATTGTATGTAATACATACAGTATGTCAAGAAACTCTTTACACACTGACAAAAAAACATATTTTTTGACTTTGCATGCAAAAATAACGCCTTTAGCTATTCTTTTTCAATATCTGTTTAATGAATCAATATTAAATATCTTTTTAAAGTAAGTATGTGAAAAAATAAAAACAACACAACGAAAGGGAACATTTTAAAGCCACAAAATATAAGTTTACACACTTTTTTGACTCTGTCAAGAAAGTGTTTACACAAAGTACTTAAACTACAGTTTAATGAATATATTTATCAACTTATACTATCTTAAACTAATTTTAATATTTAGTATGACACCCCTTAGCTTCAACTACGAGCTTAATGCGATTTTTCATAGAACTGACCAGTTTTTGTAGGTCATATTCCAACGGAATTTTATGCCACTCTTCCAGTACTGCTGCTTTTAAGGCGGCGCGGTTTTTAGGCTGCCTTTTTGCCACTTTTTTCTTCAGATAAACCCACAAATTTTCAATGGGGTTCATGTCTGGGCTCTGAGGAGGTGTATCTATGACCTTTTGGCAATTGTAAAGGAGCCATGTACGCACAGTGAGCTCCTTATGTTTGGGGTCATTGTCCTGATAAAATTTAAATTTTGGCTTATTATCGAAAATAAAGCCAAATTTGTCTGCACTTCGCTTTAAATTTGATTTCAATAAACGCAAGCTCTCCCACTCCCTTGCTGCTAATGCATCCCCAAACCATCACCGACAATTTGCCAAATTTTACTGTCGGAATGATGTTGCGCTGATCTAGAGCTGTTAAAGGCTTCCGCCATACTCTAGTTGGTCCATCATTGTAGTACAGCATTATTTTGGTTTCGTCACAGAATATGACGTCATCCCAATAGTTGTCCGGCATGATGTTCATGATGATAGCAAAAGTTAAGCGCTTTTCAACATTTACTTTTGAAAGCAGCGGCTTCTTACGGGCAACCCTTGAAGAGTATTTGTTTCGCAGAATTTGTTGGCGGACGGTTTCATGTGAAACGACCGTGCCACACTCTTCTTCCAACTCCTTGGCAAGGGTTCTGGTCGAAATTTGGGGGTTTTGACGGACCTTACGCATGATAAGGCGGTCTGCTCGCTCGTCAATCTTCTTCCTTCGTCCACTTCCACACTTTGCTTCCAGTCTATCTTCGTTTTCGGCTCGATTTAAAACATTATAAATTGTTTTTCGCGATATACAAAACATCTTCACTAGCTCAGCTACAGACTTTCCAAGTTGGTGATTATAATAAATCAATTGGGTAACTTCATAAGTTAATCTAGCTCCAGGCATGTTAAATAATTTTAAAATTTGCTTTTTGGCACCTATGCAGCAAGATTTCACAATTAAATGAAAAGGAATGCAAATAAAACGCATAGTGCAGAAGCATAAATAACGGTAAAGTCCCGTTTTTTCTTAGAATAGAACAAAACAGAATCAAAAACTAAAGTGTGTAAACACTTTCTTGACAGAGTCAAAAATGTGTAAACTTATATTTTGTGGCTTTAAAATGTTCCCTTTCGTTGTTTTGTTTTTATTTTTTCACATACTTTTTTTAAAAAGATATTTAATATTGATTCATTAAACAGATATTGAAAAAGAATAGCTAAAGGCGTTATTTTTGCATGCAAAGTCAAAAAATATGTTTTTTTGTCAGTGTGTAAAGAGTTTCTTGACATACTGTATGCCGTCGACCGAGACAGCGAGTCACGACTGTTTGTAATCATCAAGCTCAACTGACTAGAGAAAAAACAATCGATGGTACTATCGATATATCGATGTTTTTAAATTTTTCGAAACATCGATGGTTTTTAGGCCAATATCGAATGTACCTCTGCGTGTGGCACAGGCTGTAGTTCAGCGAACTTGTGGTGTTTGTTGTAGGTGATGACCAATAAAGAACCTGAAATATAAGAAGGATTGCCAATTTCGGTCGACCATTGTCGGTTTATCGTTTTCCAACTCTACAACTGACTACATCTTCCACTCTTTTGTATTGGATGCACTCAAATGTTGCATACTGACTCAAGTCCCCAGAACACTTTCCTCTCTGCCATACACAAGACTCTTGATGTCTCCGGTCGGACTTGCTAGACTAGCAAACAAAAGCGTGTAATTCCCCGAATTCAGATTGCCACTGAAAATGTACTCGCCTACGAATACTAGGAATCACGCTGCGTCATATGCACATATTATTTTTAGATTTAGATTTAGATTTAGATTAATCGATTTAAGCTATTTCAATGACGGTGCTGACGGTTTTTAATCGAAGATCAAAAATATAAACTTCCAGAAAATGTTAACATGTGAATGTAAATATTTGAAGTTGAGATCGCAAATACGAAATTAAATCGAAATTTAATCTTACTTCATTTACATTTTGTAAGTAAATAAATTTATCTATAAAACTGATATGTTAAATGTGTTTTTGGGAATGCTTTCGTGAATCGAGGTAAACAAGTCCTCTTATGATCGCTTGACTAGTTATGATGTAATAAATTGTTTTGACAAGTTCGGAACGTCAATGAATTGCAAGCGGCCAGAAAAC